GATGCAGACCAACCTGTCCCCACCCCATGCCGCCCACCATCTCCCCCAGCTGGTAGACATTCTGGGACTCAGGTTAACTTTTCTTTAGGGACACCTGGTGTGGGATCACTCAGTCACCTCATTCCCTGAAGAGCCTTTCTGCCAGGGTGAGGCTAGATATAGATATACTCACCACCGGGACTGTCTTTAGGTCCATCCGCCCACACCCAAAGCTGCACTGGGCCGGGGACTTGGTCTACCTTGTTTCCCACTGCATTGCCCGTGGGGAGCCTTGTGCCTGGCCCACAGGAGCCCCTCAGGGGACATTTGTGGAACATTGGAGCAAACAGGGCAGAGATCTAACCACCAGTGTCATCTCCAACTGAATGTGACACACAAAAGCACCAAGGCACATGTTGTCCGGGCAGGAAGAGTCTGTAGCTGTAAATAAGTGTCTGCTCCCAGAAACGCTCGGCAGAGAACCAAGAGCCTTTTAATAGGTGCCCTTAGGCTTCTGACACTTCAATTATGATTTACTTTGGCAAGGGTGAGCAGCAAAATGGGTGTTAGGGTGTTATTTAATTTGTCGTTTGAAGTATTAGTGCACATATGCATTACTACCTACAGATGTATTTGGGGCATGACTATTCTGAGCATTCTGATGTTTGGCATCCTTAACTGCTCTCCCCGAAGCAGCTACTAAGTTCCGGACACACGACACCCCTACCTAGGATAAGGCAGGTGAACCTCTTGGGCCTCAAAATCTACCGAGATGCCAACAGATACTCAGTAATCGAGATAATAATTCAATGTAATAATTTTAGAAAGTCATAGCAGCAAGCTATGGCCAACGGAGCAGTCACTTGGTTTTGTGAATAAAATTTCATGGAATCAGGGCCAGGGTGAGCCTGAGGGGTGCGAGGCAAGTAGTGCCAGCCCTGGATCAGATCTGGTGTTTATTTACAATTTCGATATTCTGTCCCTTGTGGATTTTTGCATTAATTTTGATTTTGCAAACTATTGCATGAAAGCATCCTTTATCTTGACTACTGCATTTTTTTGGAGCCCTCACTTAAATTTTGTGCCCAACATGAATGCCTCACTTGTTCTTCCTAGTCCTGGCCCTGCCCCAAACACACCATGTTTCCCACCCACCTGCTGTGGGAGGCACTGGGAGCTGTATCATCTTCAGCAAATATGGTTTCCCTCTGCAGGCCGGTTTACAGATAGGAAACAGGCTAGAGAGGTGTGTGTCTCTGCCCTCACACACTTGCTAGAAGGTCCTCAGCTTCAGAGAACCTGCAGGTTAGAGGGGAGGCCAAAATGCAGACAGTAAGAATAGGCTGGCTCTTTGCTTCCACCTGGATACAGTGGGCGCAGGCCTTAGCTTCAGGGGGGAGCAGAGAGATGGCAAAGGGACAAGGAGGAAGCGGGTGAGCGGCCCTGCCTGGGCCACTCACACCTGGCCTGACCTGACCCAAGACAGGATCTGAGTGGCCCCCTGCTCTCCAACCTGGAGGGGATCCTTCGGACCTTGGGTCAACATGCTGTGTATAAGCCTTGGAGACAGAGATAAAATACCTGGCCTTCCCCTAAGTCGGTGGAGAATTCACACATGAAACTAGGTGGGTGCCAGAAAGGACACCTGCAGCAGGTATTACAGGAGCAGAGGGGAGGGAACCCCACCTGGCTTAAGGACGGGGGCATTCAAAACTGGCTTCGGAGAACAGAGAGTATTCGAGCTTTTAAAGACTGAGTAGGAGTACAAGATGAGTAAGTAAGCAATGTGTAGGAGTGAGGAAGGTAGCAAGGATGGGGGAGCGCTCCGGACCAAGGGGAGGGCAGGGGCAGAGGCCGGTGAGCTGCTCTGCTGGTAACAGTAGCCAGAGAGGGAGCTGGTGACAAAACACGAGGCTTCCCGGAGACTGAAGTTTGTGGCGGGAGCCGACGGGGTGGGGAAGGGGGGTCCTGGGTCAGCAGGGCAGGCTGGAGGTGGGCCACTTCTCCTAGCTGGCGGGACCTGGTCTAGGTCTCACCCTCAGGTGCCTTCCTCACAGGGGAAGTGCAGACTTGAGCTCATGGTCTTGAGTGAGATGCTCCTGAAAGCCATCGGGTGCCCACTGCGTGCCAGGTAGAGCCTCTGCCAGGCGCTCCCACCAACATCCTCTCCCTTCCTTCCCCGGCCTGAGTATACCACCCCTTGGGGGAGGGAGGGTAAGGTTCCTGCCACTGCCCTTCCTGCTTTCCTGCTCACCCTGTACCAGCGGGACGTGAAGATGGGATGATGAGACGGGGAACAGAAACCATTGCTGCTGCCAGCATCCTTTCGCCCCTACGTTGACCCTCCTGAGTTTGGGTCAAACTTGCAACAACATTGAGGAAACATCTATGGCTTTGGCTTGGTTGCCACTTCCCATTCACCTCTAGTGGGAACCAGGGAAGGAGTTAAAGACAAAACAGTACAGGATGGATTTGTAGCATGTAATGTTATGCAGCCAGTGAATAAGCCATTTCTGCATTTTGAAAATAACTTTGGAGAAATGTGCAGAGCGTCATTTGGGTGAAAATGCACCATGTGAGTTGTAACTCTGTCTTCTAGCTATCTATATCTTTAGTTGCTCCATAACTCTATCTGCGTAAGACTAGAAGGAATTAACCTCAGGAGAGGTTATCTCTGGTGGGTAGGGTTATAGGTGGTTTCATTTCCTTCCTTGTTTCTATATGGTGTAAATTTTCTATAATGAATGCATTGTAGGAGAGGCGGTGAAGCATAACAGCTTAAAAAGGCAGGCTGCCTGGCTTTGAATCCGGGCTCCTCAACTTATCCACCTTTGTGACCTTGGACAAGTCACTTAACCTCTTGTTCCCAGTTTCCTCATCCATTAAGTAGGGAAACTAATAACTATTTAGTTTATTAGTAGCTTCTTAGGAGGATCACAAGAGCTCATATTTGCCATGAACATTTCATTTGTGTGCACAGTGGCTGGCACATACTAGGCACTATGTGTTTGTTAAATAAAAGCAAAATTACTTTTATAGAAAATGTAAAAAGATTAATTTTAAAACTACCCAAGTAATACAGGAACATAATCTTTTTGTAAGGAGGAACACTGGAAATTTTTAAGTGAAATGGTCCTTGGAGACAGAGGAGTTTACAGCCTGCTTGGTTTCACATTAAAAAAATATTTTAGTGTTAAGGCAGGAGCAGAAAGTCATGAGAAGTGTGTGGGTGGCATTCCAGGGACAGTCCCCTCCCTGGTCTCTCCACTGACGCGGATTATCCAAGAGCACTGGCTGATCTGGCACCCAGAAGCCCCCCTCTGTGATACGCTCACCTGGAGGCACATGCCAAGCCATGAGCAAAGAACCCTGACATTCCGGTTTGCCGTCCAGCCGCACCGACTGGCAGGCCTGCTTGCCATTTGGCTTTTTGAAATACTGAAAGGTATTTGACCTCCCAGGACTGTCTTGTGGATCTTTAGGAAGCCTAGGAACTGCAAATAGAGAACTGTTTAGGAAAGCAAAGAACAGCCCTCTTATGTTCTCATGTGGACTTGTTCCTGAGGGTGTCATGGTGCCAGCATCACACACCACCCTACAACTAAGTGTCCTTCAGAGCCAGAAGGAGCTGGTGAGGGGAGCCCCCCAGGAGCTCTCCGGTGGGGAAGGAATCGGGTCCATGCAGCTACAGCAGATGCCTGCTGTCTCCTTGGGTCACAAATTCACCACCTCAGCGTTTCTAGACCTCAGCCCAGTGATGGGTTGCGGTCCCTTGTGCAAAGAAGAATGAAAACTAGAGGGTAGGAGGCAAGATTTAGGCATTTTGATATGAGAGGGCTCTCCTTCATATTGGGGAGATTTAGCTTTTGTCTCTACACATCAGCTCGGAGAATAGTGACTGGAATGGGTGCTAAGTGAAGGCTCCAGGGAGGAAAGTCAGTAAGAGACCCTGAGGCCCAGAGAAGCCAAAGCGCCCCCTACCCAAGACCCTGAGAACACAACCTACACCCACTGCGCGTCCTGCTGCGTGACCCACTCCACCCGGGCTGCAGAATGACCCCTCTTGATGAGAAACTAGGGTTACCAATCTCCCTGACAGGCCAGGCCTGACTGGAATCCAGGCATGCTTCAGTGGGGTGCCATTTGGCCTGGTTTTGCACTGTGTTGCCCTAAGGATTTTCTCCTGACTTGTATCATTTCCTCTTTAGAGCCAATCATTAACCTTATGGAGGGCCGAGGCAGGAGAGACCACAGGAACGAGCAGCTGGTGCAGGCTGGAAATGCCCAGGTGTGTTCTACAGGGGGACAGAGTCCTCAGGGTTCCTGGGGCAGTGGCCTGGCTTGGGTCCAGCCTCTCCTGCAGACTTCTACACACCTTGCTGGGCAGGTTGGGATGCAGGGGCCTGGATGTGCAGGGAGCCCCTGTACTTTTGGGCAGTGCTACCCTCTGGGACCTGAGCGGTGGGGGGCCTATGGCCCTGGGAGGAAACCAGCTTTCAGAAGCACTGAGGGGCTGGGGTGTGATTTCAGGTTTGCCCGCCCGGGACAGCCCCAGTTTTGCCTCCTCTTGGCTGTAAACCACCAGCGGTGAGAGAAGTTCAAAGCTCTGCTCTGGGCAATAGTTGGCGGCCCTCGCCTGGTCCTAGGCCCTCAGCCTTGCTCTTTTGGATCCGAGATAGGCCTGGATTCCTCAGATTAACCTCCCAGCCCCCAGTTAACCCAGTACTCAGACAGAACACCCCAACCCCAGTCTCTCAGGTGCCACCTGGAGGGGAGGAGTCCTGGAGAAGCCCCCTGGCCTATGCGCTGCCCACTCTCAGTCACAAGACTTTTGGGGACAGGTCCCTGGGCCCCTGGTGCTGAGCAGCCCCTGGTTTTGGGTAGACAGGACCAGCCTGAAGAACCAAGGCCAGGGGCCTCTGATGGGTTGCGGGTCTGAGTGGGGGGGGCTTGCCCACCCGGGTCAGGAATCCCCGCTCCGGCGGGCCCAGGACTGTACCCTGGTCACGGGGCAACTTCAGCCTGGTTCAGAGCCCCTCTCTTGCAGCTGCGGGGACGGAGGGCTCCGCCTGTGTCCTGGGATTCCCGGGGCCCCGGGGCGGGCGCCTCAGGGGAGGCCCGGGCTGCGGGTTGGAGGCAGGTTCCCTGGGCCATGCCGTGCGACGGCCACCCTCCCGCGCGAGCAGAGCTGCAGTCCAGCTTTATTGGCGTCGCCTACGCCCCGGGCGCTGCCTGAGCGTGACGGAGGCGGCGCTGCTGACCGTGACCGCGGGGTAGAGCGGCTCCAGGAAGGAGACGAGGAAGCGGTAGAGGAGGCTCAGGCTGCCCGCCACGCCGTAGAAGGAGGCAGCCGGCACCACAGCCGAGCGCCACGCCGAGCGAGCGGTGGTAGGAGCCGTGCAGCACCGTCTGTGTGTTGTTGTGCCACACGGAGAACTTGAGCGAGTCCCACTCCAGGCACCACGAGTAGGGGTTGCGGCCCAGCAGGTGGACGATGTTGCGGCGCGGGCGGCCGCTGAGCGTTGGGCGGCGGCGGTAGGTGACGCCCAGGCACACCCACGAGTTGGACACCTCGACCTCCCAGTAGTGGCGGCCCTCGGACAGGCCGCGCGAGCACAGCACCTGCGGCCACTGCTTGAAGCCCGCGAAGGGGCCGCCCGCGGCCGTAACATCCTCCAGGAGGATGCCCAGGTTCAGCACTGAGTGCGTTTCCTTGAACAGGAACAGCTCCTCGCTGGCTGTGGTGGGGTCAAAGTTCAGGTTGCAGTACCCCGGGGGAAGGGAGGTGGGAAGGGGAGCCAGGGTCACAGGCCCAGGGCAGAGCAAGGGGGTGCTAAGTTACATGGCAGTTGCATAGACGTCACTGAGTGCCTCCCTCCCCCACCCTCTTGCCTCCTAGAAGTGGCCCTCTGCCCTCTCACCCCACCAAGTTCCCCACTCAGGTGGCAGGGTCACTGACAGTCTGGAGAAAGGAAGAGTAGGGCGCTGTCCAGAGGTCCACCTGTCCAGAAGTTGAGAACAGAGTCCCCCTCCCGGTCCCCACCGGACTCTAACTTCATCTCCCTCTTCATTCATTCAGTCCTCAAGATTGAAGGGGGTTGAGGGAGAGTCAAGGGCTCCTGGTGGAGGCAACTCAGAGGCAAAGCCACTCTGACCCACAAGATCTCAGAGAAGTCACTGGGATGTGGCCTCCAGCCCGACCTGGGAGAAGGGCTGCAGGGGCATCAAATGAAAAGGGGAGATCGTCAGAGGAAGAAACGGACAGGGTCATCCAAGCTGGTTCGGCTGAAGCACAGAGTCTGGTGGGCACCCAGCTGAGAACAGAAGTTGTGCACACAAGCTCTAGAGAGGTGCAGGGTGGCCTCTGGGCAGTGCACAGGGCCTTGCTCCACCCTGGAGGTGCGACAGGACAGTCCTCGCCCCTTCCTATCAGGGCCTGGTTGCTGCAGGCTTAGTCCTGATGAGTAGGAGGTCAGGGCAAGAGAGAGCTGGCCCTGGCCTGAACGGAGGTGGGGGTGGGGAAGTTGATGCACCCACAGGCCTGCTCTTTTCCTTTCCACCCCTGGGGCTGGAGATTCTGAGGACTCACATTTGAGAAGTGTGTGCCTGTCCATAGCTGGGGGCAGTACTTCATAGGAGTTCATCTCAATGCCTGGAGGAGATGGGGGGTGGCTTTTGTGAGGACACTCTCAGAGCCCAGCGTCCTTCCAGAGAGAAGTATGGCTTCCAGGAGACAGCCTCACCAGGGGAAGGTGCCCACAGGCAGGCAGGGCTCTCTACAAGTGCCTGGGACCACAACTACCGCCCTGCAGGGCAGCCCCACCCCAATGCAGGTGGGTCTCCAATGGTCCCCGGCTGCCAGGTACTGACCCTTCTGGAGGAGCTGGTTGATGAAGCTGACACCCACGTCCCCCAGCTGGGTCTGGAGCTCTGCCAGGTTCTCTGGCAAGTGGAGGAAGGTATGCTTCTCCTCAAAGTTGATGCCCATTAGGGGTTCCTTGCAAGCTGGGAAGTGCATCAGCCTGCGGAACTCTTGCATGCAGGGAGAAGACACCTGTTAGCCAGGGCCCAGGTAGATGCCAGGAGCTCCTGCTTATGCCAGGGGCTCAGTGGTCCCCAGTACCATGGGGCAGGTAGAGAAGTTGCCTGATTCCAAACTTGGACATCTCTCTCCCCTCCTGGTTGTTTGAATAACTTCGGTTGGGGCTTTGCTAAATGCACTGTGGCCTAGTGTGTTAAGTAAAGCAGATTTTTAGAAAACAATGGGAGAATTTCTGTTGAGCTAAGAGTTTAGTGAAAAACCTTGCCAAATGCATCCTGTTGTGCCTTGGGGACAAGGTGAGCAATAGCCCTGCTCAAGGGTGTGATAGCCACTGAAGAACCATCTGGGCTAGGAATCCCCAAGCATAGGGTATAGGCAGCCTCGGGCCCCATCCCTAGTGAAGTCTGTGGCCACCCCCAGCCCCCTGCCAGCCCCCTTCTTGGTACCCTCTTGCAGCAGCACCTGACCAGGATACTGGGCCAGGCCAGGGCCAAGGAAGGAAAAGGCAATTCAGGCCATACAGATAGTTCTGCTCGCACCTCCAGCCCTGGTCTCAGGGGTCTGTAGAAACTTAGAGTATCTGAGATGCCCGGAATCCCAGGGTATACCCCATCTGGCCCAGGGGAATGAAGGCAGGGAAGGTAGGTATGGCTGAGTGGTGAGGTAGAAGAGGAAGCCAAGGGTGTTGGTGGAAGCTCAGGATGAACGACCTGGGATGAGGGGGTGCCCTGAGTCAGGGGAAATGGACGAAATGATGCAGCTCCAAATGCTGATCACTTCAGCCAAGGTCTGGGCAGATGTGGGTGTCTGTGGGTAGAGGGGGACAGCAGGTTGTGACAGGGCCAGGGGCAGAGATGAGGGTGAGGTTGGGGTAGGGCAGGGACACGGGACAAGAGTCATGTCATTGTAAAACCTACTTAGCCTGTGAAAAAGGCCCAGTTTATTCTGTAACTTAATCTGTAGGCTGTTCTTCCTCCTCTTCCAGCCCCTTAATCAATTAAATAGCTTTGTAACCAGGACAGGAGATAGACCTCCAAAGTATAAATGAACCTATGGGGATAAAGAATGCTGATCTGGACCAACACAGTCACCCAAGTAACCCTATACTTGAGACAAAATTTCATGAATCACCTGTATACATCATGCCTTACGCTGACTCCTACCCAAAAGGCCCTATAAAACCCCAAGCCCTAAACCCTCAAGTGTGCCTTGTCTTTGAGGTCGCCCACACTCCTGAGATCAAATAAACTTTCTTGTTGCATCAACTGACTGCACTTGTATCTAAACTCTACTCCATGATAAAGACAAGAACTCGCCAACCTCAGCCTCTGGTGGTAAATATGTGCGTCGTTTTGCTGTTTCGTTCAGCTTCCTAGCCTTGGCACAATCCTTTTCTCTCTCCCTGTTTTATTTCAGACCAGTAGGGCAGTGGAAATTCTCAGAACATCATCTCACTCCAGTGCTCTGCAGCTCCCTCAAATCCTGGGATGGTAGGGGTTTAGTTCCCACGCCGTGCAGATTCAAGTGGACACTGGATGCCAGGTGACTCTGGCATTAGGAGCTGGCTAGGGATTTGCCCTATGCCGAGCAGTTCAGTGAGCTTCCCTTCCCTACCTGTTCTTCCTCTCTGCTGCCTGCAAAGCAGCTAGCTGCCATTCGCTGCTGCTCTCACTTTAATGAATTCCTTCCTTACCTACACTCGTCCAACCTGCTTGAGAATTTTTTCTTGTTCAGAGTCGAGAACCCTCCCCCATCCGGGTTGAGGTTTCACTTAGTGCGCAGGGAGACCCCCCCAAGGCGCAGCTGTGCGACAACATGGTGGGGCCTTGCCTGCAGAAATTGCTGGTCGTTCCTGTTGGTGAGCAGGGTGTGGAGCCAGATGCTGTCCCCCTCCAGCTTCAGGAGCCGATTGTGGCTCTGCTGGATGGAGCTGCCCAACTTTCCTAGGGCAGCTGCCACCTCTTTTTCCACAAAATCCAAGACCTTCCCCTGCAGCTGTTTGATCTCCTGGATGATCTCTGAGAAGCAGCTGTTCACCGCATCGCCTGTTGTCTGGATCCGTTTCTGGTGGGACGGGGCAAGGAGGAAGTAGGAGGGAGCGGAGAAGGGCATCTCTGAGCGCTGCCTGCATGCCCCCGTTGTCACAGCTTGAAGCCAGCCTAGGCATCCATCTCTGGCCCCACACCATCCAC